AGACCAGAATTAGCTAGGTAAGGAATAGAATTATCCGTAGTCACATGAATTGAATGTATTTTTTTAATTGCCATCCCATAGGAAGAATTTCCAAAATATAGCACACATGTGAATCACAAGGTGAAACACAGTACCAGAAGCTTAAGTGTAGTAATTTAGTTGTCCCAATCTCATTCTTACAATGATTTTACAGAATAAAAAACTACTCTGAGAACTTAAGAGTTTTCTCAAAGTCATGCTACAAAGTGACAGACCTAGTATTCAAGACTAGGTCAAAACTAGTGCTCTTTCCACTTACCCTGTTGCCTCCCTGCAATTCACCCTCCATGTTGCAAAGTTTGTACATTTCGTGAGACTGAGTCTTCCTTTTGACTTACCTATTCATGGGTTGGGTACCCAGCATCCAGAGTGATTGTCCACTACGGACAATGAAATGAAAGAAAAATAAATATTGAATTAAAAAATAGTTTATTTTTCATTTCCCCAGAATTTTCTTAGAAACAATTTTATTTCACAAACTGAGATAATAAAAATGTATAGAGATTCTCTATACATAAGCATGAGCAAAGGAAAATAATTTTAATTCATTCTCATAGTTAATCTACATTAACTCACAGAGCAGCCTAATTCAAATAAAGGTCTTTTTCTAGACTCTCCATGTTCTTTGATCTTCCTGTTACTGTTTGAAAAAGAACTTTAATTTCATCTTTCTTTCAAATATATGTGATAAAATTATTTTGCTGAATTTTCATTTGACATAATTTTATATTTATATGTGTTTACCTTTGATCTAGCTTCCTCTAATGTTACCATCTTACATAACCATGGTACAGCTATCAGAACTAAGAAATTAACATTGGTATAATATTATTAATCAAATTCTAGAGACTCTATTTGCATTTTTAAAATTTATTTTAGAGAGATAGAGGGTGTGGGAGGGACAGAGGAAGAAGAGAATCTCAAGTGGACTCCATGCTTAGCATAGACCCTGATGCGGAACACCATTCCAGGACTCTGAGATAATGACTTGAGCCAAAACCAAGAGTCAGATGCTTAACGGACTGCATCATCCAGGTTCCCTGACTCTATTTGCCTTTTTACATCAATGTCTGTCCTCTGTTTCAGGGTCCAATCCAGAATACCACATTATATATTGTTGTCATGTTTCCTTAGACTCTTCCAATCTGTGACAGGTTTTGATCTTGACTTTTGAAGAATAGTGGTCAGGAACATTATAGACCATCCCTCAATTTGGGTTTGTCCAGAATTTTGTCCAAATTATACTGCTTATGGATTTGGGAAGAATACCACAGAAGTGATGTGCCTGCATCATATATTACCAGGGCATATGATATCAACATAACTTATAGTGGTATTAACCTTAATCCTTTGGTTAAGTTAATTAAGCTTTTTAACACTACTCACTTCTACTATAATTCATAAGAAGATTAATGCTACTGCAGAATTAGATCCACACCTGGGTAATCAAAAATATATTTAATTGAATGATTTAATTTCTTTAGGAGTCTTGGTGTCTGATCCTGGACTCTTAACAAGTGGGATAGGCTTAAGACTTGGGGCCCCAAGTTCTGAGTCCAAATCCTATATCCACTAACTTACTGGCTTTAAGTCACAATCTCTGCAAGCCTCAATTCCTTCTTCTAAAAATGGGGATAATTACCATATGTAACTCAGAGTTGTTGTGAAGATTAAATAATGTGTGTATCATATGTTATAACCATGAACCAGTATACAAATGTTAATTGTTGCTATTATGGTTAGGCTTTTGAGTTGCTTACTGGGCATTTATTTACTTACTTTACAAAATGACTTTCTTTTTTTTAAAGATTTTATTTATTTGACAGACAGAGATCACAAGTAGGCAGAGAGGCAGGCAGAGATAGAGAGGAGGAAGCAGGCTCCCCGCTGAGCCAAGAGCCTGATGTGGGCTCAATCCCAGGACCCTGAGATCATGACCTGAGCCTAAGGCAAAGGCTTTAACCCACTGAGCCACCCAGGCACCCCTACAAAATGACTTTCATAGATGGTGGGACTACGCATATAAAAAAGTCTACTGAAACTCAGAAATAAAATGCCTCAGTCACAATTATGAAATGATAAAAAGGTCCCTGAGGGTACCAGTCTATTTTCCACCTCTGTTGGATCTATAAATACAGCAAAAAGGAAGACTTTGATATGAGGTAAAGAAATTACAGATGCCACATACACATTTCCATACGTTAACCATTGAAAAACTGCATAAATGAGTCAATGAGAAAAAGCAAAATATAATCTGATAAATTACATTTCTTTTGTTTTTAGGATTTTATTTACTTATTTGACAGAGAGAGAAAGATCACAAGTAGGCAGAGAGGCAGGGGGTTGGGGGGAAGCAGGCTCCCTGCTGAGCAGAGAGCCCCGATGCAGGGCTCCATGCAGGGCTGGATCGCAGGACCCTGAGATCATGAGTGGAAGGCAGAGGTTTAACCCACTGAGCAACCCAGACACCCCTGATAAATTATATTTCTATAAGCACTTTAAAGTGAGTATGAACTGCTGAGGAAAAAAAAAAGATTTCTATAACTGTTATTATTTAATATAAAGCCTCTTTTTGGTGTTTGAAAGACATGTCATCATTATGCTAAAAGAGAAACCACTACTTTCAATATATTAGATGCTTAACTGTGGATCTATCTTATATACCATGTTAGAATGTAAAATAATTAAAGGCAGAGATACTCACCTTTAAATATACTTCAGTGAACTAATACTTAATATTAGATTTTCATTGGAGGTACTTTATGGTGGTTACTTATGCTCTCTAAACTAAGCCTCGAACCTCTGTGCTGCCAGTTGTGGTTTATCCAATAAGCAGGCTAAGCACATGCTTTAGAGTACAAGCAAAGCCAGAATAAAACAAAAACAAAAACAAAAACAAAAAAACAAAAAAAGCCTTCCTTAAAGAATTTAAATTTAATATCTCAGCAAAAGCACTAAAGTAGTCATCATGGGGAAAAATCGGAATTCTTTTGGACATCTTTACTCCTATTTTTTGGCTTTGTTTTTATTTACATATGAGGTATGATAATGGGACATCAGAATCTTTTCAGTTAGTTTAGGACCTCCAAAAATCTTAGTCTAGCTCTCTATGCATCTTAAATTACCATAAATTTTCCATAACTCAGTTATTCAGCAAAAAGTATTTCATGAAGATTATAACATATGTATTTATACATAATGAGCATAATTTAAGATTCTTTCTCATTACAGTATCTTCTCTTAGCAAGAAACCATAATAATTGACAGAAAGCAACTCTTCATAAATTTGAAATATATAAGTACATGAGAGGAGTTAATTTCTGGTGTTTTACTCCATACCTGATTCACAATGCAAGTTTAGTTACCTAAGAAAAGAGCTCCAGTATTTTTTTCAACACTTCTGTCAAAACACTGCCAGATTCTTCCCAGTTTCAACTCTTCCTCTATGTACTAGCCAGTCTGTTGCTAGATGTTTATCCAGAGATTTCTGGTGTGTGTTGTTGCTAATACTCCCATTATACTTCAAGGGGCTGGGTACAGATGTTGCTGGAGGATCTGCTTACTCTAATTAGACCACTTGTCATTTTTTGCTTGGTTTCATTTTGACCACTGGGTGCATCATGTAACCATGCTGGGTATTTTTAAGAGCAAAAAATATAGAAACCAGTAGTTAATTAATCTTACATAGCTAAAAGAGGAGGTTAAAAGTACAGACAACTGGTGTCCCAGATGAGTGAAATAAACGATTGGGGAACAGGCTACTCACTTCTTTACATTTAAACACCCTCCCTTCCTCCCCCCCCAAAACAAGCCCCCATCTAAGTAGAAAACGAGAGAACTTTGGCAATAAAGAAATGGCCTTGTTAGAAAAGCTCCCCACGAGTTGTTGTAAATTTAGCTTTAAAGTTAATTGCTTTTCTCTCTTTTCCCGAAGAAATGGAACATTTCAGTTTCTCGGCCCTGAAACATTGAGTTCAGAGTTCGTCATGGTTTCTTCCCTACACTTTGTCCTTTGGTTTTCGTAAAAGTCAGTCCATTAAAAACGTTTGCTTTTTCTGAGCACTGTTCTCGATGTCAGTCCGGGTCTCTTCCTCCACCCCCCACGGCCATCTCTGCCCACCACGACCCCAGGCGTTGATCTGGCAGGTGCGAGGCCAAAGCCCGAGGCTGAGAAAAGGCTGCGGAGTGTATATAGTGCACACCCCTGAGGAGGCGGCGGCAGCTGTAGGCCCGGCCGCCCGAACTTCGAGAACCTAGCGGCGGAGCGCTGAGGCGAGTGAGCCTCCCCGCCAGGGCCGGGGGAACTTGGTTCGCGCCAGCTCGCTCTCCGCCTTCCAGCAGCCAGCGCCGCCAAGCCTCTCAGGCCCTGCGGCTCTCCGCAGCAGTCTTAATTAACAAGCCTCTTCCCCCCTCACCCGCCCCCGCCGGGCTCCAGGAGTCCTAGGTTTCGTGTCGCAGACTCCAGCCCGCCAGCCAGCCTGTGGAGGCCAAACCCTGCTCCGCGGGGCAAAACGCCGATCCAGCAGGGGACCGGCCGTGGGGCGGGCGGCCGGAGCGGACGGGTGGGAACCCGTGCCTGAGACGCAGGGAGGGCAGTGGGGAGGGAGGAGGCGGGAGAAAGGGCGCGGGCTGGGGGCGGAGCGAGGGAGCGAGCGAGCGAGCGAGCGAGCGAGCCTGCGAGCCTGCGAGCCTGCGAGCCTGGGCGCCTCCTGGGCAGTGGGCGGTGCGTGGGCGGTGCCGGGCCTTCCCGCTCCTGTGGCGCTGCAACTCAGCCGAGCCTCCTTAAAAGTCTGCCGTTAAAATGGGGGCGGGTTTTTCAACTCAAAAAGCGCTCAATTTTTTTCTTTTCAAAAAAAGCTGATGAGGTCGGAAAAAAGAGAGAAGAAACCGGCACCGTCTCTGCAGCGGCAACAGAAGCAGCAATTGTTTGAGTGAAAAAAGAAGCCAAGGAAGGAGGGTAGGAAAAGCGCTCAAAGGAGGACAACGCTCAAGTGTCTGTAGGGGCGAACAGAGCGGGGACCGGCGATTTGGGGGGGACCAGCTACAAAAAAACTGTCACTGGGAGCGCTGCGGCTCTGGAGGAAGCCTTGTTGCCCGGCTCGGCTCCCGAGCACAGTTAGCTGGCGGCGGCTGCGGCACAGGCTTGGGGCACAGACCGCGGGACAGCGAAGGGTCGGCGAAGTGGCACCGGGTGTCGGAGCCACTGGGCTCTCGCCGGGAGGGCGACAGGACTGTCTGCGCTCTGGCATTGTGGCGACTCCCCATACTCAGACCTTGGCCTGCGCTTCTCTGGTCGCTCCCGATCTCCGGAGGCCCCCAGAAAATTGGGAAAGGAAGGAAAAGACGGCGGCGGCAGCTCAATGAGCGTCTGCAGTGGGAAGTCTGAACTGGCTCGGTCGTAGGCGGGAAGTTACTGGTGGGCTGCCCTGTGCAGCCGCGATGCTGCCGCGCGCCGCCCCAGCAGCCCCGGCCCCATAAACGCTTCCCGCATCACTCGCCTCCTTCCTCACGCTGCTGGGAGTCCCGGGACCTGGTGGGGCCGGCATGACCGACTTACCCGGAGCCCGCCGCGCGCCCGGCAGTCTCCGGAGACGCGCTCCGAGCCTGGCTCCCACGGCCTCTGAGGCTCCGCGGGGCTGCGGCAGCCCAGCGGGCGGGCTACGGAGCCTTCCCACTCGGCGTTAGCGTGCAGTCCGGCCCGGACGCGAATAAAGGCTCCTACTGAGAAGCGGAGGCCACTGAAGAGTCGTGGAGACCTATAACCCAAGGGCCACGGAACTGCTACTCCCGTTTGCCTTTGACGATCATCTTTAACCCTCCGGAGCACGTCAGCATCCAGCCTCCGCGGCGCTCTCCCCGCATCGGAGAACTCAGGACTACCCCTTCGGTGAGACGGATGGAGACCGAGCCCCTCCGAGGACCTGCCCCAGCGGTTCTGGCTCGCGCGGCTCAAGTCATCACCGTGAACAAGGGTAGGTTAATGCCTTTTCTTTCCCCCGAAATGTCTTTTCTTCCGCGGTATTTTGTGCCCTGAACTAGTCCCTTAAGTCTCCGCGCACATTCCTCACAGAGATTGTAGTGTAGATACGTGACAACTCTGCATACATTTTACGTCCAGAGTGATTTGCCGGGAATATGTATATGTCTGTGTGTCTTTCTGTTGAGTCACCAGAATTCTTCACAGGGGTTAAGCTAAAAAGCGAGGAGCGGAGCCCCTCTCCAATGGCTCAGTTTTGCTGAATAATCACGTGTGAATCGAGGGGCGGGCTTTTGGCAGGCAGATCTTACTAGTATTTACTACCAAGCTCTACTCCAGATTAACCATCCCAGTCCTTCTGTCAGTCTCCGATGCCATCATGCAGCCTGGTTAGGAGCAAAAGAAAAGGGAAAAAGAAAAACAACTAATTCATCTTTTCCCGATCGTCAGGACCCTAAAGAATGGCCGAGCCTTGGGGGAACGAGTTGGCGTCTGCAGCTGCCAGGGGGGACCTAGAGCAACTTACTAGTTTGTTGCAAAATAATGTAAACGTCAATGCACAAAATGGATTTGGAAGGACTGCGCTGCAGGTTGGTATCCAGAGAGGTGGGGAAAACAGGTCAACAATGTTGCCTACGTGATCCGGGTTTCTGGAATAACGGCTCTTAAGCTTCCAGGGGTACAAAATTTCACTGTTTTTTTAAGCCTAGTTGGTTGCCATATTTTATATCTTTAAGTGGATCCAACTCCCCAAAATGACGTACTTTGAACAAACTCGTCAAATTCAACAACATCCTCGATATCAAATGGGTTCCAGGTTTGGTCTTAATTTTTGGAATGTTTTTGTGCCGGTAGAGATTTAAAAGTAGTTGTAGCAGCGCCGAGGTGTGTGTGTTTTTTAAGACAGCTCTGTAAACACATTATTATGATTATTATTTGAAGTAAATACACTGCTATTAGTGGTTTCCGTGCTTTGCTCCAATAATTGACTTTAACGTTAGTTTTCCTGACTACTGGCGAGGGTGTTTTTCCTTCAAATGCTTCAAGTTTTGATAAACGACCTTTCCTCATTTGGAATGGGTGGCCTGGGCACGGGGACAGGATGTACATTTCACAGTTAATGTAATACCATCCACCCATTCAGGATTGAGGAGGAATAAAAAGTTGAATTTTCTAATCAGAGTTCAGTTTGTAGTATTTTTGTCTCTGCGGTTGTGCGGTAATATGTTCTAACTTTCAGTAATTAGATTTACAAGCAAGAAATGAAACATGTCCAGCTGCCAAGTATTGTACCTGATATATTTTTTTTTCCTCCTCTGAATGTTAGTTATCATGTAACTTAATTGAAAGGCTTAGAAACAGAAAAAATGGCAAAGTAGTCTCAAATAGTTGCTTTATCAGAGTTCTGGTGGTACTCATATGAACTGTTCTTATTCGGAAATGCAACACTTGAAGCTGTTTTTGAAAATCCTTTGGGGAGAAGGTTTAGAATGCTTTGTTTTACAAGAATTAGAAATTTAAGTGGGAGGAGATATACTATTAACAGACGAAGTTAAGTCTGGGCATTTTAAAACAATATACTGATCTTATAAAGCTTTCAGTGTTAAGGAAGCTTATACATAGATACTAAATTATTTAATCTTATTATTTCGGGTAGATTTTGTGGAATAGGGATTTTTTTTTCTTTGTCCACCCAATAGTTTTTAAGGTTTTGGGGTGATATCAATGCTACAAATTTAACACATTGAAAAGTTTCCTATGAAAACCCAAAAGATTATATAAATCTCACAAGGAATGGGCAACTTAACCCATGTTCAGAATAAGATCTTACAGGACTTTTGACGAACAGGAAGACTGGGAGATTAATATTGACAAAGTTTTGGCATTTTTAATACAACTTGGCAATCTTGTTTATATTAAGCATACTTATCTATATACTAACACCCACTTATTGTGGCTTAACCCTAGCACATATAATGAAACACACAAACAGGAGTCTCAAGGCTTATTTTCAGTATGTATAATCTTGGTTCTGAAGTTGTGTCATAATTCAAGAAAGAACTTTCTTTCAAAACAATTTCCAATAGTAATATTATTTTTGTGAAAGATGGCAAATTTCCTTCTATAATTATGTTCATTTAACTTGGTTGCAAATTTTTCCCTTCTTCCTAGTGTAAGCTTTTCAATCAGAATGATATCAAAGGCCTTAATCGCACATTTGCTTTACAGAGATCCAAGGTGTCTATCCCTTATTTTTCCCAGTCCAGGTCCTTAAATGTGACTAAATCTCTAGAGGTAGATGTGGCAAAAATTAGATTGTGTTCATTTTTAACCAAAAAGTTTATTTTATTGAAATTCTCAAAAAATAAAATATATATCATTTTTACCACTGCCCCAAAAGAAGGGCTAAATCAGTAGGGTTTTATCAACAGGGAAGTGTAATATTTTGGCCATCTATATGGTTTGCATTTATAAAATATTATTTATTCTAAATATATTCATACTTACTTTGTGATTGTTTTTTAAATAAACAGTTTAAAGAGATAGACAACTTTGTATGTATTTTTCAATGGATATTTAATTTCATAAACATTTGAGAGTCTACTATGTAATCTATTTATTTTAAGTTGTTATGAATATACCTAAATATAAATGAAACCAGTTAAAATGCTGAACTATTTTCTGGCATGTTAATGAGACTACATTTTTTTCCACAACTAAATTACATGTATTATATAATTGCATGCTTCTCTACAAGATATTTTATAATTATGAGAGCATAACAGAGACCCCTATTAGAGTGAAATGTATTCAAACAACCATAGGTAAGTCTTTTTCATATGAATTATTTGTATGTTGATAGCAAATTTTAATACATTCTGACTTTTAAAATGTTGGCAGTTTACAAATAGCTACTCCTAATTGTCTGATAATAGCTGCAAAAGGAAATAAGATGGCATCCCCAGTAGATTATTAAATATGCTCAAACCACAAGACAAAGTTGTCTGTCTCAAAATACACATTAAATATCTTATTTTCTCTTCGTTTGCTCACTTTAAAATCAGGAAGCTAGTTAGAACTTTAAGAGACAGTAAGTGATAGAGTAGGATAACTGTTTCATTCTTTTCAGGAATGGTTGCCATGCAGTCATCTCCTGTCTAATACATGGTATATCATGAACTTAGCTTTGATAAATCAGTATCATAAACAATGTAGCACACCAGTGATTATTTAACACTTTAACAATTGGTAACATTTTAAAATTTCAGGTAAAGGATTCTAAGCTCCAAACACACCCAGTAGCCAGTATGAAATAACTTACAAAGAGAAAAATATTTTTTAGAAAAACATTGGAAATTTGAGCTATATATATTTGAAAAAAACTTGTGAAAATTAATAATTTAAGAAAATATCAGGTCCTGTGTTTTAATAGATCATTTTTATATTAGGTGATGGAGTCTGATGTGTGGAAACACTTCTTTGTGGGTTTAAAGAAACTCACTCTCCTTATTTCTTTTCAGTAGCTATTTAGAAAATTAATTTTATCTACATTTAATATTTCAGAATTAATAATTCAGGTTTTATGTATTATGAGCATAAGCAAGCAAACAAGAGATTCTCAAATTCCTTTCTTTTTTTTTTAGATTTTATTTATTTATTTATTTATTTGACAGAGATACAGTGAGAGAGAGAACAGGAACAGGGGCAGAGAGGGAGAAGCAGGCTCCCCACTGAGCAGGCTGCCCAACGTGGGGCCCAATCCCCAGATCATGACCTGAGCCGAAAGCAGACGCCCAACAATGGAGCCACCCAGGCGCCCCTCAAATTCCATTTCTTTTATTTTAATAAGTTCATGAAATTACGCAAGTCTTCATGGGAGATAGGAAACTGAGTTGTGGGTGAATTTTCCACAAGTTGGACTGGTTCTATTTTACTGATCAATTTATCCTACTTTGGGGTCCCTTTAAGATATTCCATCAGAGAAGCTCGATCTTTAGAGTTATTCTTCTACTTTTACCTACTCGTACTTTCTTTCCTGCAATTGAGCCTTTCAAACCCCACCAGGTGGGCCTTCCCCAATCACTGTTTCACCAAAAATAAAGTTATATAAATAGGAGATATGGATATTTTAAAATATTTTTGTAAGAGAACTTGAAGGATTCTCCCGTTTTCTCTTCTTTCCTAGGTTATGAAACTTGGAAATCCTGAGATTGCCAGGAGACTACTACTTAGAGGTGCTAATCCCGATTTGAAAGACCGAACTGGTTTCGCTGTCATTCATGATGCAGCCAGAGCAGGTTTCCTGGACACTTTACAGACTTTGCTGGAGTTCCAAGCTGATGTTAACATCGAGGATAATGAAGGGAACCTGCCCTTGCACTTGGCTGCCAAAGAAGGCCACCTCCCTGTGGTGGAGTTCCTCATGAAGCACACAGCCAGCAAAGTGGGGCATCGGAACCATAAGGGGGACACCGCCTGCGACTTGGCCAGGCTCTACCGGAGGAATGAGGTCGTTAGCCTAATGGAGGGAAACCAGGCGGAGGGAGCTTCGAATTTGCAATGAATATGGGGAGGGTTCTTCCACACTGCCTTCTATTTTGTCAGTTAATTGGTTGCCTGTCCTATATTACTTTCACTTGTTAAAATTCAGTTTTGTCATATTTTAAACAGCTAGTTCAATCTTCACAGGATGCAAAGTGGAAATCTTAGTCAGATTTATGAATATATTTAAGCAACATCCTTTTCACTTGCAAAATCCTGAGTTCTAACACATAACTGCAAATAGCTTTGGCTTTCTCCTGAGTATGTTATCTTGCCTTGACTTTTTCCTCGCTTCTCCCTTTGCCAGTCTCAAAACCCAACTTAAGAGACTTTGTTTTAAAAATGTTTTGTCCTGATGCTTCTTTTGCCTAATTAAAACACTTTTTCAAAACAGGACAATGTTTTTCTGTGTTTTCCACTCTATTATCCCCACATAGTTTGCCACTTGCTAAGAAGTGTACTAAAAGTTCACAATATTGTAAGTCTCAACATTAGAAAAGTAGTCGAAGTAAAAAACTAGATGTATTCTATTGATGATTCAGTTATTCTTTCCTTCCTCATGTCTCCCCCCCAAAGATTTTACTTGGTGCCTCATATTTCTCTTCACAACAAAATAAGGACAATGTTTTTTGAAGACCTGAAATTATTTCAATATAATTTCAGAATTTTTCTTAATGTTCGATCTTCCCCTTTTCTCAAAGTTAAGTTTAATAGTTGAAAAACAGGTTTCAGAAGTAGCAATCTGAAAACAAATATATATTAGCTAAAAGTAATTTTTAAAAGAAAATGTCACCTTAAAAGTGCTTCCCCCTAGTTGTTTTTTTTAGATCACAAAGTGAAACAATTGGTTAAATAATACATTTCCCAAAATTATACCATAAGTACATTATCACATTTTTTCTCCCTGAATGTCAGGAATGTGACATTACAAAATGTTAAGTCTTAAAATATAATGCAAATACAAATTTTTAGGGGATTAAAAAGTGCAGCAAGAAAAAATACATAAATTACATGTAAGGGTCATAACTAATTATATATACATGTAAGGGTCTTAATTGCAATATAATAAATATAGAAACATTTACAATAAGTAAATAGGCCACTCTTATATTTGGTACTTGATTTCCACAAAATTTTTTAGTAAAGGCTTACAAAATCTTCTTAAGAATACATTTAGATAAAAATTTTAAAAATTAAGTGAAATAGAAATCTCAGATTTCCAAGACAATTGTCCAGCATCTACTACTTACTTTAATTTTAATTAAAGACTTTCATCAAAGGATTTCAATGCATTACCAGTTATAAATTTATAAATACTTTATTCATCATCTCCGACATGAACAAAGATGTTTTATGTGAAAGCTCCCTCCTTCTGCTTTATAAGCTCCCTGCCCTGGTTCCAAAAAGAACAAAATACTTTAAGGTTTATTGAAGGATATGGTTCTGATGCCTGCCCCAACAAGGATTGGAATGGTCGCAGGCAAGTGGTTTTCGGTAATTTATTTTCCATGATAGTATAAAAGAATATAGGAGAAAAAGTTTTATCCTTTTCACTTATAACTAAAGTTCACCTTCTTTAAGTACACTAAGACTTCAACTTCTGCCACCCCTGAGCACAAACTACTGAATAAATTTATTTTTGACAGTAACATGATATTAAATTTGAAATATTTAATTTTAAAGTTTAGAAAAAAGTAGAAATTGGGATGTTTTGAAGGAAAAAGTGTTGTGTTTTGGATTTTAAAACCAGAATCAGCATACAAAATACACTGCTTGAGAAAACGGAATACTTTCTAAACACAAGCCTGTTACTAAAAAATAAAAACCCTTCTTACAAGTTACAACTGTAAAGATTGATGTTTCTGAATTTAAAGTGGAGTTTAATTAACTTTTTGAGTATCCAAGTTTCAGCATTAAAATTACTCTTTAGGAAATTCAAACCTAAAGGCATAGGGTGTCTATAAAGCTGGAGAGGAGTACTTCTACAGTTGCTTTATTCTTAAGAGGTTGGAGCACAGTAAGGGGAGTGGGAGCTCTCTTTCTCTTCATTAGCCTAAAATTTGCTAAGCATTAAAACATCGGCACATATCTTTGGCTCTTCGAGGAAATAGCTTTACTAATCTAAGTATTTTAGAAATGAGTTTTGTGGTCCCCCTCTAGGAAGCCATTATTCAATCTCTCAAAAACCTCGACAATATTCAGCAAGACTTTGAATGTGTAGAAATTTATACGACGGAAGAAAAGGTGCTGCTGAGTTTAATGCGCTCGAATTTGTAACGAGCTGAGGTAGAGAAAGGTCTGAGCCTAATTCAGATGCAGAGCGGGGGCGGCAAGCGCAAATTGATAAAGTGATCAGCACCCCCAGGAGACAACGCTGTATAAAGGATGGAGGATACTTAAGCAGGGAATCGTTTTCAAATTCAGTTCTTCACTGCGTCCGCATCCAAGTCTGGAAACTCGGGCTCAGTTTTTGCCCAGTAAATTGAATTCAAGCTTATACCTGGGGGAGGAGGGTGACACTAATAGCACCTCATGCCACATTCTGGTCTTTGAGCCACTGAGCAAACTTCGTTTTACCCTATTTCGGTAGTGAATCAGTAGTTTTCTGATAAACATTACATATCTCATAATGAGGTGATGAGCTCCTCCACACACACTACCCTGGGTGAATGATTAATAGATAAAATAATTCCATCTCAGGAAAGCAATTCAACTGGTATTCTTATAAATTTTCCTGATCATGTTGATGAAAAAACATTGTGGAATCCGTAGCCCGGGACTGGTTTCGAAATCTCAGTTCCCAAAAAGGTGCTTTTGGCTTTTGCCGGGGCGGGGCGGGGCGGGGGGGAGGTAGAAGTAGTCCTTCAGAAGCGCTGCAAGATCACAGTGCTGGAGCGAGAAAGGGCCTTCCTGACTGCCCTGAGCTACCTTCATCGAAAGATTCCGAGGGGGAAAGTCCCGGTCTTGCTATCTTGAGACTCTTGTAATTTTACACGGCAGCCCCCCCCGCCCTCCCCCCCCAAAAAAAGAAGAAAAAAAAAAGGCAGATCCACGGAGGGACCTACTCAGAGAGGCAGGAGACAATCTTGCAGCCTGAGACCCGAAATAAAGCTTTGCCCATTGTCAGCCTAAGCCAAGCCATTTACGCAGGGGCTGCGAAGACATCCTTTCTGTCCCTTCGAAACTCTCCAGACGCCAACGGCAGCTCCGGCTCCCCAGTGAGGAAGCTGAGCCCAGAGCTCCCTCAGGGCGCGCAGAAAAGCCCGGCGTGGGGGTGGGGGAGTTTCAAAACCGTTAGTTCGCGTTGTGTGTGTGTGTGTGTGTGTGTGTGTGTTTTTTTTTTTTTCTTTTCCCTCCCTCGCTAAGGTTTCTTTTCTTTTCTCTTCCTGTCCAAATATTTCAAATTTCCGCGCCTTAAATAACAGTCTCCTTTTATTTAGTTAGTTTCCTCGGCAGGTTTGGCCGCCCGCTTGTCTCTACCCCCCATCGGGCCCGGGGCGTCTCGGGCGCCTTGGTGCTGCCTGCAGCCCCTGCGCGCTGCCCCCGGCCCAGGCTGCGTGGCCCAGAGCGCGCCAGCCGGAGCCACAGCCCCCTCTTGCCGCGACCTCGCCTGACCCGGCTCTCCGGGCACCCAGAGCCAACTAAGGCCGCCCCCCGCCTGGACGCCTGTCTGCCTCCCAGCTCGCCTTCCCTCCCCGGACTTTGGAGCCTTTTCTGCTTCGGGGTTTGGATCCCGGTCGCCCAGGAGCGGCGGAAGGGCCGCTGCAATAGAAAAGCAACGGAGAAGGCCAGTGGCCGGAGCCTGTCCCAGCCCCCACCCCGCGGGTAACCTTGGAGGCGCCCTCGGAGTGAGTGTGTGCGTTGCTGCGCCAGCCGGCTGGGGCGAGCGGGCGCACCTCGCAGCGGGCAGGAGGCGGGAGCTGGGGGCGGGGAGGGGGAGCGGGCCCCGGCGCCTGCCGGCCGCTGCCACAGCGCCCCGGGAGCTGCGGGCTACCGAGGCGGCCAGGGTCCCTGGGCCCTGGCCTTCAGGCAGCGGTCCTTAAGGAGGCGGCGGCCATCCCACTGGATGGTTCCGGCGACCTGAGCTTGAGGACTGGGGCCGGAGGACGACCTGTGAGCAGGGGCAAGCCGGCCGGTGAACGCCTAGCTCTCCGGCAGAGGTGAGCTGGCGGCGGGACGCGGCGCGGCGGCTGGAGCAACTCCACGCCCAAAGCCAATGCCAGCGCTCACTTCTCCTCCCCCCGTGACAGCTGAGGACAGCCGGGCTCCGAGCCTTGCGTCCAGCTGCGAGGAGGCAAACGCACCTCAGGCTTCACAGCCCCTTAGACTATTCGGGAATTTGCCCTGTGGTGTTGCCTCCCCCTGCCCCCAAACTGCTAGTCGTCCTGGACAGAAAATGCACTTTCTTTCGGAAAGACCCTCGGCGCGAAATACAGAGATTGCAGGCCCGCCGGCACTTTGGGTGGGACCCGGGCGTGCAAAACACCTAGAAGGGGTCTTCTTGTTCTGTTTTTACCCGGAATAGATCCGAATATCGAGTATGAATCTTCAAGCGGTGTCTCAAAGAATAAAAACTCTTCAGATCTGGATATGGACTCGGTAAATTAAGGTTCCAGTGAAATGTTTTGCCATCTGCTACAGAAACATTGTACAAATTTCAGGTGTTAGGCTGTGGGTTTGGAATTTTCTGTACTATCTTTAATTCTCAAAGACATTAAATAACAGCATGGTAACACACCCCGCAAGTGAGCAAAGGTTATCCTTGTCACCACAGCACCTGCAAAAGCACATATTTTGCTTCCTGAGTTCTAAAATGGCTTCTGAACGGTCCAGAAGTACCAGCACATACAAGGAGGGGGAAGGAGACGGGGAAAGAGTTTGTACATTAAAAAAAAAAAAAATACACTGACATTATTACACTTCAATTAATCCACCTCACCTCTCTTTCTCCCAGCCCCCATCCTCATTGGTCAAGGAAGAATTTTAGTGTAGGCCTATTCTATAATTCTATGTACAGCCTTTTTCTCTTCTCTCACTCCCCCCCCCCCAAAAAAAACCAGTCGGCCAAAAATATCAGCTCTTTTGCGGAGGAAGTAAAAAACCACCAATCCTTATCCAAACTACCCGTCATTTCTTTTGTGTACTAAGAAGAAATCCTACATATAACCAATACTATGAAAGAAGAAATGATTTACCTGGACCTCAAACACATTTAATTGGTATAATTAAAGTTATATTAATTATCTTTTAACATGAAAATAATGGGGCAGTTTCTGGAATTGATAGGTGAAAAGCTAAAAAAAATCACCGACATGTTTGGAGGTGTAGCTTCTGCTCTTCTTTGTATTTTATTAGTACAGTGGTTACTTAGGAAAAAATAAGTCCTTACCTTGACCATATAAAGCAATTATCATGCTGACTAATTTTATTTTAGTTACATGCCTTAGTTTTTGGGATTAATTATATATAGTGATAGTTCACTATAGAGCAAAACTGACATCTTAGAGTGTTAAATTTTTACTTTGGAAATGCAACCAAATTATCACAACCATATTAAAATACAGTCTACTCCCCTGTTTTCTTCCAAATGTACAATGCACACAAGTTGCTGATAAAGTCTGCCCTGAGTTTAAAATTTATGCCTTGGAAACATGATTTCCTAAAGTAAAAAATAACTCACTGATCTTTAAGAATAATTATTCTATAATTTGGCTATTCTGTGTACAGCTATTGTAACAGTATCTCCTTGTCTTACATTTTGGAACTATTGTAAAAGGCATTTGGGCCCAATTAGTTCTTGTTCCATAGTTTTCTCCTTCAGATATTTTTACTAAAAAGTGACTGTCAATGATGCAACAGCATTCTGATGTACATTCTGCTAATCCAAAAAACTTCAGACCAAACCTATATAGGCCATTTTAAAAGGAACATGCATTTCTTCTTATGGCAAAGCTTAGGAAAGATATGATTGAATGTTAACATTTGAAAGTCCTAGAATAACTAATTTGCAAATCAGTTATTATACTGTAGTGATGATTCAAGATGAAAATTTTAAAACAATATTTTAGAAGAATAAGTGGGATCAAATTATTAAAATAAGCAACATTTGATGATGATGAATAGCATAGTATTTCCCATCTCAACACTCAAAAATAAGTAATAGTGTGTATTCCGGTATGATTTTTAACTGTCAAGATAATAATATATAATAATCATCATTAGATATAGGAGTGATTGTTCCAGAGTCTTTTTTCCATTGCTAAGTAAAATATAATTAAAACACAGTAGCTCTTTTTAAAAAACATTTCACTACTTAATCACCTATATTTTTGGCTGGCTCCCTCTTCTTCTTCTTTTTTTTTCGCCTCCATATTTTAGGTGATGGACAAAAATAGCATCTAGAAAGAGGCTTCCAATTCTCCGTTATTCCTGTTTCCTCAGCCATCTGTTTCTTTATTCACAAACATCACTTCAACTTTAAAAATCATATATTTTGATGCTAAAAATTGTTGTTCCCATTAATTTAAATTTATCATAGGCCTATAAGTGAAAATACACTCAATCTGTATTTTCTTTAAAATAAATTTAAGTGGAAAAAGTGTGGATGTTAGGTTGTAGCAAGTGTGTATTTATGTTTTGAATATAAATTTGCTGGAATCTTAAAACCTATTTGATATTTGGCATATGCTAAGACTTAGTGCAGGATTAAGATCTGGAAAAATCTTAAATTTCTGGTCTTCAGAAAATAATATATTTTAATTTGCCATATTAAGATAAGATCAATTGTTTTAACTATTAAAAAGTTAAAATGTTGATACAGAAAAATATGAAGGTACAAAATATCATTACACCACTATGATATCAAATCTAATGCAATGGCTTTTTAAAATAAATTATTCTTACTGGTAAATTGTGTATTTTAATTAAAATGGTCACTATTTTGCAGTTAAATTTTGTACTCGGCACACAGACCAGAGTTTTCTGTTTATCTAAAAGCATATAGTTGTTATCAGGCAGGTATTCAAAGTCATCCTTTGTGGTCCTCTCCTATATGGGCATTTTTATGTACATGTGTGCATAGTTAGATATTTCTTACTAAAGTTCACTACTGAGCAAATAGATATTTTGAACAAATACTATCAATTCACTTCATATTACCATTTTAAGTTGTAAAATCATGATCTGCCATAGAAGTGTTAGCTGATAATTCTTTAGATATAAGTGAAATCATTTTCATTAATGATCCAGGGAAGGATATAAATTAAAATCTGAGAACGGAAAATACTGATGCAGGTCCTAGATCTACCTACGTTGTTGTTTCAAATTCTTGTCATGAGGCAAATGTTTATGAAAGTGACTTAACATCCACAATTAATATAATCAAATTTGAAATAATAGAAATAGAATTGTGATAGTGACAAGAGGAAGAATGGGTACTTAAAATGATTTAGATAGTCATGACTGTAAGTTAATTTAATTTCAATTACATGATAGGCAATTTGCTCACTAATCCAAAAACAAAGACCAAACAAGACCAGTAAAAAGGTATTTCCCAAGAATTCAAAAGCAGGGCAAACAAGATAAAAATTTTTTTTTCATTGTACCACCATGGGAAATATAAACAAGTTATTTTCTTGGTATGGATAATTTAACAGTTTCCAGTGAAGTTTTCTACCCCTTCACTTGCTCAATGCTTTTAAAACATATAGCTAGAATATAACCACTTATTATTTACAGTCATATTTAAAAATTACATATATATTATGTTTTACTTAAATACAACAGACACATATTCTGTCCCAAAAGAGCAAGTTCAGCATCATTCTGAAAGGGAGAGTGATACTGTTGGACATCCGGACTAGACTGAAGGACTGTTTAATGTGAAACCCAAGTAGGACCACATGGGAGAGAGCACTGAATTCACTGAATGCTGGCTAATTTGCTTGAGAGTAATCAAAATGGCTCTGAGCCTGGTATACATTGTTTATAGTTGTTTAAATACACAATGTACCTACTGGGAAAGCAAATTAAAAGACACATAAAGAAGAGATATATATTTTTTTGCATCTTGAAGACATCACAGATGTCACAGAGAAAACATTACTGTAGCAACATAAAAGAGAACTGCACATAATAACATCAGCTGAAGATAACTGGTTTCAATTTCTTAAGAAAGGCTTATGTTTTGAAGATTTAAAATGCACAGTTCTTCAAACATGTGACTTGTGTCTATAAAATACACAACACAAACTTATTAATATTCTAATTTTTAAAATTTCCACAAAAAAAGTTCTCCCAGCTATCTTTTAGTTCATCAGATCCTATTGAAATATCATGCACCATCCCCTAAGATCAGCAAGTAAATGTTGTGGCTTATCAACGTAAGAGAATTTTAAAGATTAGTGCTTTCTAAGGAAAATGTCCTTCTTGAGCTATTAGGATGAAGATATGAGAATTTTTAGTAGCACATTTTGTCTTCTACAAAAATCCCCCAGATTATATTTAGGATCAATGTAAAATTAATTTGACATTTCTAAAATAAAGTAATATTTTATGTCATTGTTTAACTAACATTGTTTTAAGTTTAATATGTAGAATTTAAACAAAAGAACTCTGTATGGCCTTTGTGAGATTTCTTTTTATTTAGCAACAGAGTAGACTGAAGAGAAATTAGATCAAAACATAAAATTCAGACAGAATCCAAATTATAGAACAACAATGGTATTAAGTGAACCAAGAGAAAAATTGTCTCACATCATAATCTTGTTTATTTGGAGAAAAGAACTTAAGAAAAAATATTTAAATCTCTTCATTAGATTAAAATATTGGGACTTTCTTATCCAATATTGTAGGGAATAAAATCCTAAAAATTTATAAAAGAGATATGAACATCCTAAAAAACAAGTGGCTCCCTGCTTAGGACGTGTGATAATAATCGATGTGCGATGGTTCTCTGAAGATATTTAATGGAGTTATGAATATGTTAGCATACAAAAAGTGTTGAATTTTGTCATCATTTAGTAAGCTATTAAATTGTACATTTATAAGGAAAATAGGGGATACTTTAATAAATGTCTTTTCTTTTTTGAACTTCTTAATTTATACATCTACTAATTCAGTTTACAGGAGAGAGAAAAGGTACAAAATCAAGCATATTAATAAATCAACATTTATTATTTTGTATCTGTATTATTTAATTTAATATTCATAACCACTCTCATAGATTGGGCTTTATTCTTGCATTTTACAAATCAGCAAACTCAGATTTAGTGATGTTGAGTAGCTTGACCATAATCACAAGCTAATAATTTATAGCATAATGATACAAACCCATGTCTCCTTTAACTTCATTACAGCCAGATGGAAAGATCTTTCAGGAGAATTACTACATCAGTCAATTCAACAACCACATATTAAGTACTCATCATTATAGTCACTTAATACATTTAAGACCTTGGGACTAATTATATCAGAGGCTTCCCACATCTGTAAAATGGAAGTAATAATATCTAATTTGCCATGTTATTGTAAATAATAAATGAAACGTGTATAAAT